CGGATTACCACGGACTTGCACCTTCTAATGACTTTTATTTAATTATCTCGTAAATTATTATATGTACGACGCTGAAATTCTACAGGTAGACAGCTGAACTAAACAACTAATTATTGGCATAACATTCAGTTTATATATCCACACACAGGTTTATCGGTGGCCAAAAAAGGCCGCACACATTGTGATCGTGAACGTGGAGAGCTACATTTCATCATAACTTTTTAGTCACTTACAGTATTCTTACGAAAATTCGTATACATTTGAAGGTAGTTACAAGCAATAGAATAACGTTTCAAGTAAGTCTTTAGAGGTCTTATTTAAAGTGTTAGGACGTATTGAAGTGTTTTCATAATTACCTAAATAATTTTTAAACGGTCCATTATTTTTGTTATTTTATTGTCGAACAAATTAAAACTAATCCTTAAGAAGTTATGTACAAAAGATGGTTACAATCCGCTTACCAGTTTCAGAGATCCAGCAAACCCACAAACGTTACTCCAGCAGGATTTCGAATAACTTCGCACCCGATGAAAATACAAATACCAAATAAGTTGTAACATTTACCTAGTAGAGATAACTAATTATTTAGCTAAAATTTATTTCAATATTACAATTAAAAAAGAAAATGTCTGGCTGCGGTAACGTTTCAAACGTTACCCCAGCAGGAAATGTTTTTTTGAAATAACTAAAAAAGTTTAAGTGAAACAAATTTAAAAATGTGCTTAACAATTACAGAAGGGGAGCAACTAATTATCTATAAAGTTTAAATGACCATTTTCGACATTATTTTGCTGGGGTAACGCACACAAAGTGTTACTATAAAAATTTAAAATCGTAATTAACAATGTTCTATTAAAAAAAAATAGCTTTTCTGAATTTAATGTTATAGTGTAAATAAATATCCATCATTATGACCATAAAGAATGGCTCAAACCACCATGATCTTAAATGCTATTGCAAAAAGGTCCTGCATTTTTCTTATTTTAGCTCCTGTGTAAAATTGTATATTTTCGTTTAGAAACGGTTTGTCTTTAAAGGTGCGATGTGGTCGTTTATCTCCGTATTGTAGCGCGGCGGTAGACCATTCATACATGCAGCGTCGGTAGCGAATTCAATTGTTTAGTCCAGTCAACTACTATGTTTTCAGATTACGAAACGTTTTTTAACAGGACTAAACAATTTTTTTGTGATTTTAAGTTTAGTTTAGAGAGTTTTTGCAAAACAGAATTAGCACCAATGTATTTTATATTTTTAAAAGACAATTTCCGCATTAGGAATATATTCTGTGTCGCGGGGGACTTTACAAACATACATGAAACGGACACAAAGTACACCCAGACTCAGAACAACAATTTGTGGATCAAACACAATGTCGTCCATGTGGGGATCTAACCCACAACACTCAGCGTAATAGGAAGCGACGTGGTGACTGCTTAAACCACTACGCAATCCGTGCAGTTATGTCTATGTAATATGTGTGTATGTTTCTATACATAAGTAATTTAGTGTTAGTCTGCAATGTAGCAAGTACTAATGAATATTTGAATATTATACTTTTTATCGAGTGAGACTTAACCGAAGCCGAAATTCTCTGCCGCTAATTCTTGAGCATTCAAAATGGCGGCCACACACTTGTCTCTTGTCTTGTCTATAAATAGGACTACTCGTATGCCTCCTATAAATAAAAAAGTGTCGAGAGTCCGACTCACGCACGAAGGTTTCCGTACCATCATCATCATCAACAGCCTATAACAATCCACATCCTCCTTAGACACGAGGTTTTGGCCTACTATACCACGTTGGCCAGACGGGTTGGTATAGGGTTTGTTTCAAGTTTTCCTTCTCTTTGCACTGCTGTTGTCCTGCGTAGTTTGCTCCCTTAGTTGGCTTTTACAACACCCACGGGATGAACAGGAGTGGTGACACAAAAACAGCAAAAAAAAAACATGTCTGTTGTATGGGAGCCCCACTTTACTATTTATTTTATTCTGTTTTTAGTATTTGTTGTTATAGCGGCAACAGAAATTCATCAATTGTGAAAATTTCAACTCTAACGGTCCCGTGACAGTTCATGAGATACATGGGGAGGCTGTGTCTCGTGGGTTCATGAGATACAGCCTGGTGAGAGACGGACAGACAAACAGACGGACGGACGGGCAGCGAAGTCTTAGTAATAGGGTTCCGTTTTACCCTTTAGGTACGGAACCCTAAAAAGACGACTGCTACTAGGTAGGTATAAAATACAAATAAAGGCACACATCCAAAAACCATACTTTAATTCTAAAAAATATTAAATATCACAGAGATTGCATATTTGTTATAATTCTTAAAACAAACGCTTATCATATGCTTATATGCCCCAAGTTTTTTTATTGACCCGAAATTTCTCACGCCTAGCGCCTTGAGACCTCATAAAAGCCATAAATATAAAATAAAATATCTCACACATTTTACACACAGCCATCTGATCCCAAACTAGGCAGAGCCTGTGCTATGGTAACCAGACTGCTGATAAACATACTTATATAATTATATACATACATATTATATATATAGATAAAGTATACCCAGACCGAACAAATGACCGTGCTCATCACACAATATTTGTCCTGGGTGGGAATCGAACCCACGACCTCCGGTTTAGCAGTCAGGGTCACCAACCAACAGGCCCGTCAAAATATAAATTAAATGTATTATAATAAATGTTTTTTTTTTAATATTCCTAAAACACATACAAAATCTCACATTCCTATTACTAATCGATAATACCATCATATTGTAAACTCGTCATCAGCGAAATAGTAATAAAAGAAATTTAAAACTTAAAGGAATAATTAAATACCTTAAATATTAAAATAGAGGGTCTTTTGAGATTCTTTAAACTAATATATAAAACTTACTTTAGGCTGCGGTTTCCCTCGCGTTAATCTAAACTGTCCCAAGTTAAGGGCGACAGGTAGGGAGCGCGAAAACTTATCGAACAAATTAATTAGAATGGTAACAATTGACCATATAAAGACACTAATAGCGCCTCTAGCTACAAACATGAGAGACTATTTTTTTTCCTTTGGCAATAGGTTATTGTAACAACTTTTTAAATTTGAAGTTAAAATAATATTTTTTTCAAACTTTGTAGATATATCTAGGACCGATGACAATACACTAATTTAAAAAAATAAAATAAAAAAAATAGTTTTAAAAACTAAAAAACACGCTTTTTATAGAAAACCAAACTAAAAAATAGAAAATAAATTTTAATAAATTTGAAAAAAAGCGTTGGGTGCCTGTTGTCAACAGTAAAAAGCACTCCATTTAGTTTTTTTATTATTCTTTTGTACATTAGTGTATTGTCATCGGTCCTCGATATATCTACAAAGTTTGAACGAATTCTGACCGTTTAAAGTCAGTCAAAATCACGCCCAAAGGAGTCGGTTACAAACAAACATACAAGTGAAGCTAACATAAAGCGTGTAAAAATGACAATAGGTTAAGTAGATGATTGACAAATCCAATAAGTCCTTTTAAGTTTGTACTCGGATTAATTACAGTTAACATAATGATACAAATTTTTATATTTTAGTGAACGACAAAGAGGTAGGTTTTGTAGGTATGACGTCACACCAGGGCCTCAATTCTGCTATTTTATGTTCACGCCAAGCCGCTGTCATACCACTGACACGCTATTGAGATGCCATCGAGTGGGCATTGGCATCGGTATAAATATCGGTAGTCTACACTAACTCAGTGTCTTTACAGTGGCGATGGAATGGCAGTGGCTCATCAGTGGTGATATCAAAAAGATTGCCATATTTGGAAAAATAAATAAATCATTTCCTTATTATTTGAAAATATATTACGTTTTTTTATTTACGGCGTGAACATAAAATAGCAGAAGTGAGGCCCTGTACTGTTGTCAAATCATTCTCAAAGAAAATGTAAAGTAAAATGAAGGCAAATTCTCGTAATAAAAGTTCGGTTCGGTCAAAATTCAGTTCCGATCAAATTTCGATCTCACAACTGTCATAAAATGTATTTTCTTAGTAAAGTATTAAACATCCAACGTTCACTTTAATGTGATTATATCGTATTGTGACCGAAAATTGAATTCGGTAATCTGCTAGTCTTAGAAATACTTGACAATTTTACTACAAAAATACCTTTTTATGACAGTTCTGAGATCGAAAGTTGATCGGAACTGAATTTTGACCGAACTTTCATTACGAGTATTGGCCTGCCGTACGATCATTTTACACAACATTAAATTTAATTTAAGCATGTTTGTACATATCTGTATTAACACTGTAATAAATAATATACCTTATAAGTTTATAAATAAGTTTCATTTTAATTCATATCATCCCCAACCATTAAAAAAAAAAACACTAGAGGCGCCAGTTTCTCTTACAAAGTCAACAATAGTTTATATTAGAACTACCCCTTATAACATTTTAAGTACAAATAATTAAGTCTTTAAATTACGTCTTATATTAAATTAATTTACATAATTATATTTCTACCCTACATTCATTGGCTAAAGCATGCTGTCTTGGCCCCTAACATTAATATTTTGTCATTGACAGTGTTGCCAAAATTATAAATAAAAAGCTTATTATTACTAACAACACATACGAAACATAATCAAGAGATATTTTGTTACATGAAAACAATTTTTCTAATTTTTTCCATTTCAATTAAAGAAATTCAATTCGCTAAATACTCGGCTATGGTTTCTTAAAAGACGGTTTGGCTATACTGCTGACAACACTGCATTTGTTCTATAAAAACATATCTACCAAGTCTATATATTTTGATATTTCTTATCTATTTTACTATAAATTATTGAGGCTGTGCCGTGGACATAAACGAAGGAATCTATGGTACAAGAAAAGCATTTCGTCTAGTACCTACGCGATTTCACTGTGATACAAACTCTAGAGATTTACTCTATGGTACATGTAAAGCAGTTCGATTAGTACATTTTATTGTTTATAAGTATATAACTACAGTGAAGTGACCGTATATAAGTCATCGTTTCGACTGATGTCGGCTTCGAGTAGGGGGGAAGGTAGAGATGGGAGGGAGTCCACTTCATTGTCTGCCGATACCTCAGCGTTATCAGTGAAGCTTAGGAACATCTGTAAGATATAATAATATTAATAATTAAATACAAGTTCTCCACTAAATATAATTATTACAACTTACAACGGGAGAGTTATTTGTGAACCATACAATTTTTGTACCGAACCCAAAACACTACGGGCAGCGTAGTATCCATGCAAACACCTATTATAGACCTATCTTATACATAAAGTCTTTAATTCAAATACAATCCGAAACAGCGATTAAACTATATAGTTCAAGGGTGCGAAGGGTTCGATACTCGTTCAGTGCAATTATTTTTATACACGTGTTGGATAATGTGTATGTATTACTAAAATAGCGTTCCCCGCGTTATATAAGTTTATATAAGTTTAAAACCCATATAGGTAGTACAAACTTTACATAGATAAGTGAGCTATATACTATATGTACAGAAAAATATATATTCATATGTATATATAGGGAATTAGATAGCGTTGCATAAACGTTACAAGAAAAAAACACACAAATTACGACATTGACTTTTAAAACTTGTTCTAGTTGGTAGTGGTAAAAAAGTGCTCCTAATTCACCTGTTCGAGGGAACTCTGGTTGACAGTATAATCCTCAATATCACAAGTGGATTGGAGCTCCGCCATCAGCCGGTAGATGTCGCTAAGTTTTGTTACGAAATCCTTGTTATCCACTAAAAAAACAGTAATGATTAACTTTATTGTCTGTTGTGTCCGTGTGGTGACGGATTAAGAATACCGAGGGTCACCACCCCTATTCATCCCGTTTGTGTCGTAAGAACCGACTTAGGGAACAAACTTCGCAGGACAATAGCACTGTAAAGAGAAGGAAAACTTGACACAAATCCTATACCAACCCGTCTGGCCAGCGTGGTATAGTAGGCCAAAACCTACTTTCTAAGGTGACTATAACCTAAATGGTCACTTCATAAACTTTTGTACTATGACAGGTCATCATATATACTGGATTCCTATAGTTTTTTTTCAACCATATTTTTACATTTTATAACATATTTTTTTTGTTTAAAATCTTAGCTTTGCGCATTTCTTCTGATATTAACAATAACTATTTCAAATGTTTTAGCTTCTGGGCACCATATATGCTTCAATTAAAATAATTAAAAATAAAATTGAGATACAATTTTTTTATATTTTTCCTCGAGTAGTCATAAACAGGTCCACCATCTGATGACGGATTATCGTTGAGTTTTAGGACACCTGTATAGGCAAAGAACCATCAGCATCAGTTTTAAGCTAAGTCAGAACATCTAGAATAAAGTTCCACACGGGAGATATTAGGAAGCGTTATTTATTAGGTTTCATACCACATACGCGGCAGTACTTACCCGTGGCGTGTGTAGGTATGAGCACGTGCAGCGTGTGCTGGTGCAGCACGCGCAGAGACGCGTGCGGGGCGCGCGCGCGCAGCCGGCGCCACGCAGCGCGCGCCGAGCGCCGCCCCGCGCGGCACTGCACGATGTAGCCGCCACCGAACCTGCGCCACGCAACGATATGTACCGAATTCAAACAGGACTTATAAAATACAGTTAGCTAATGTTTTGGCAAGCCTAATCATTGTCTGAAAGTTAATATTTAATCATTAATATATACTGTATACAGGTTGAAAGTGCCCGACTTATATTTTAATGTCACTGATAATGTTTGTACACATTCCATGAGTATGTTCAGGTTTTTATGAGTATGTTGACAATCGGTTTAAAAGCGAAGGTGACGAAATCATAGTATCCGTGTAGTGACAGATTAAGAATACGGAATGTACACAATTATCGCTAACGAAAAAAGGAGTCCGCACTGGAAATCAACAATGTCAGACGTGACTAACCTTTC